AATAAGATAGACAGTTTCACACGTCATCTATGTGGAAAAGCAATATGAACATCCGGGCATGTACTTTATTATTTCAGATTTTTTTATACTGGGTATGAAAGGAAATTACATTGTTAAAACTGATACGCTTTCTCATCGATAATGCTAAAACAGAATTGCTGCGTTTCATATTTGATTATCACCTGTCACTGTGATACTGTATTGTCAGGCAATAATCTCACATGCTGGTCCCAACGATCTTAACAGTCATCTGGATAACAACGCATTCTTTTTTTGAGTGACGTAAATTACAATGTTTCATTAATTTTGATACAAATAAACAATACCAAATGACAAAAGGTGCAACTCTTAAATGCCTATATTTAGAAGTTGTTTTTTTTCCAAAGTGACAACTAATTAAAGAAACAACAACTTTTGGTTAACCTGACCTTGAACATTAGACACATAAACCCTGATCAAAATACCACTGTCACGTAAATTACCAGTCAACAATTGCAACTTTAAATATAAATGGGCACAGGTGATACTATCATAAGCAAGGACCAAAGCAGACCTTTCGAAGAACATTTGACGTATATGAACGTATAAAACACAGAAACTTGTACATGAATAAAAGCGGGTAGCTTAAAATCACTGGTTCGTGTGTTGTACTGGACACACCATTCTCATCAGACTTTTTAGTTACTATAGGCTCCCGTAGAACAACTTCTGCAGTCGCTTCATTCTGGGTCATAGTAGCTAGAATGCCTTTTACATTTTCTCCATATTTTCTGACATTTCTTTTTGTTTCTTTCGCTACGGTTAATTTTTCTTTTTCAGCGCTAGACAGTCTACTGGTCTGCTTATAATACTTTTAACACGTTCCAATTCTTTCCTATTCCATTTGTTTCCCAATGCTGATTTTCCCGTTCTCTGCGTTCTCTTTCTCTCTCTACTTGAGATTTAGCTATGATATCTGTAATAGATGACCACAATTCAAGCAATAATGTATAGATTCCATCATTTAACATAATGTCACTTCCCAAACAATCCCAAATAAAGTAATGTAATTTACGTTAACAGTTAATATTAGACTTCATAAATGCTTTATTATGAATCGCATGCAATAACATCAGTACTTTGAAGAGTATCCCAATAGCCATTTGTTTAAGGATAAAACATGCATGTTTTTAAGTATTATCATCATACCAAGTGTGCAGTTTCACAAGTAGCATATAAAGAACTACATCAACATATAATCAAACACTAAAAAAATAGTTCTGTTTACGTCTTTAAATTTAAATCCCCACGATCCAATCACAGGTCTACTGCTTTATCACTTGATAGGAAACCATATGTTTCAATATTCAGGTTACTTTATACACCAGTGATTTATACAGAAAAGATTAATGTAGAGGCAATGAAAAGTAATATACGTCACAATTCCTGTAATTTACGTTACAGGGCCATGCATGGAAGGCAAAGAATGGTTTTCATAAATCATGTCTGAATTATGAAAGTATTTAAACTGATTAATCAATATATTCTCGTAATGTTGCAAAAATGTAACTCGGAATCATTATACAGCATGTGTCAAAACAGTACAGTCATCCTTATCATTGAAAAACACTTATTCTACTTCAGGATGAATCAGGAAACTCTGGTTCATCAAAGTTCACATTCGAATGACGTGCTGAAATTACCACTGCTTCCAACGTGTGATTACATAGGGTATTTGTGGTGCACTTTTGCACTTGCAAGGGATTTCTGAACATTTACTAAACGTAAATTACATCCTTATATTAAATGTCCAGGATGAGGGCCACATTACTCCGTTTTGGCGATTTAATGTTTGGAAACATACACGGTTATGCTATCCATGTAAATGGATTAGGGCCAGCATCGATTCCTATGAGACTTATTTTACTCTGACCGTCACGTATGATTACATCCTTAGAATCGTTCCAATAACTGAAGATAAAATGGATTAGTTCATTCTATTAATTTTCCTTGTTGATCAGTTGACATTTGTTTGCAAGCAATATTGTGTTCGGCATAGAACAACCCATTTTACTTGCTAAACTTGTTTATATGTAGTAAATGTTATGTACATCAGTTACCATAACGTAAATTACGTTACTTCTACCGACAAAATTAAAACAAAAAATTGTCATTTTGTTTCTTTCTCATTCTTGATTTAAATATTTTCTCAAATGTTTGTGACTATTGTAATTTACCCCAAAAAAATTTTACATCTGACTATTGAATACTGTCGATTTCATAGAAAAAAAGGTTTCACGGTATGGATAGCGGGGCCTGTAACCAGTCCGACAGCATTTGTACAACTTAACTGAGAATGACTGTGTAACCTTCATGAATACCTGCTGCTAAATTATAACAAAAACTATAATGTCGCAGTACCGCTATAGCACACCCGTGAAGATCCGGGTTAGAATTGATCTTCAGTAACCCTGGCTTGTCGTAAGAGGCGACTAACGGGATCGGGTGGTTAGGCTTGCTGACTTGGTTGACACATGTCATCGCATCACAATTGCCTAGATCGATACCCATGCTGTCGATCACTGGATTGTCTGGTCCAGATTCGATTATTTACAGACCGCCGCCATATAGCTGGAATATTGCTGAGTGCGGCGTAAAACTAAACTCAGTCTTCATGTGGTGTGAACTGCCACTATATCGTTATCACCCAGAGCATTAGATAAAACCAAACCGAACAGCTACAGTAGAATATATCATCTTCAAAACTAGACATAGTGCTTATTGTACTTAGTACACATAAACTTCTAATAAAAAGAAGCATTTGAGGATCTTCATTGCAGTGTTTATGACGTACATTTGACTGCATTTTTTCTGATAATTATATCAAATATGTTTACACATTCGTTGTATGGTGCTGATTCGAGGACAAAAGTTATCATCGAAAAGGAAATGCACGGACATTATTGGGACTATAGTTTTTCATGAACTGTGTTCAACTGTGTTCATTCCTACGGGGGCCGGGTAGGGGGCGGTGGGGTAGTCTAGTGGTTAAAGCGTTGGCTCGTCACGCCGAAGACCCGGGTTCGAATCCCCACATGGGTACATTGTGTGAAGCCCATTTCTGGTGTCCCCGCCGTGATGTTGCTGGAATATTGCTAAAAGCGGCGTAAAACCAAACTCAGTCAGTCAGTCATTCCTACGGTGATTGGGCATCAGCCCTGAGACAAGCGGTCTTCACGAACAGCTGGTAGAATAGGAGGGTTTATCCAGTTTAAGGGTTTTACTGACTGACTGAGTTTGGTTTTATGCCGCTTTAGCAATATTCCAGTATTCCGAGCTACAACAACGCATAACACCTATAGCTACAATACAATTGTGCAAAGATGTTCTGTGGAAAGTTTACATATTTTGAGTTTTCCGAGACGTTTAACCTTGATATTTTAGAGCAGATGCCTCATTGGCAATTGATGGACTGGTTTTTCGGGAGGTATAGTCCACCAGTAAGATTCCTGTGGAATCCCAGAGAACGGAAGTTCATCACTTCGCCAACTGATAGAACAGACTTTGTTGTCTTCGGATGACAGACATATGACTTTATAATGATCAATAATAATGATGCTTATATAGCGCTTAATTCCATACACATGTATGTTCAGAGCGCGACAGGGAGTGTGGAAACTACATGTCAGAGAAGCACCGATGGAACATCAAGTGCTAGTTTAATGAGAATGTCATGATCGAGCTGACGTTTGAATTGGGTCACTGATGATAAAGTCTTCAACTCAGTGGAAGAGCGTTCCAGAGTTGTGTCGATACGTTAGAGAATGTCCGCGGAATGACAATATTTTGTTGCGAACATGATCTGAGTCTTCTGGCTGGATGATACTCGCTGACCAATTCACAAAGATAACTTGGCGCTGTTCCGTTGACTCATTGGTAGGTAAGTGTCAAGACTTTGAACTGGATTCTCTTCTGGACTGGGAGCTAGTGCAGGGACTCAAGAATCGGTTTGATGTGGCAGTGGTATGGTTACATCCCCTGCAGCTGTATTCTGGATCCTCTGTTGACGATGTATCTACTCTGAAGATGATCCTGGAAGAAGACTATTGCAGAAGTCGAACCTGGAGACTTTCCCATTTACAAGGTATTTGACATGTTTTGGTCTCTCTATGGTAAGGGTGAACCCATGACTTGTCCCAGGTTGCTAATATAGCTCAACAGGTGAAAAAACAAAACAAATCTCACCCAAGATGATAAACTCTGAAGTCCAAAGCCTTGGAACGCAGGCGTGTGGAAACCTTTGCCATGTCCAGTTGAACTCTCATAAGATGGCTAGTCACGCCGAAAACCCGGGTGATGCCAATTTCTGGTGTCCCCCTTCATGATATTGCTGGAATATTGCTGAAAAGGCGTAAAACCTAACTAACTCACTCTATCATTAGATCGATATGCCAATTATATTGGCTTTGTGATAGGTTGTGAGTGGCCAGTCATCCCTAATATTTATCGTGTAGTTGATCAACAGTTCCCTATTGGTGTCCGTAATTATAAAGGTCTTCTTGATCTTGAACTCGTGAAGATCCGTGTTAGAATTGATCTTCAGTAACCAATGCTTGTCGTAAGAGGCGACTAACAGGATCGGGTTGTCAGGCTCGCTGACTCGGTTGACGTGTATGTCATCGTATCCCAATTGGGTAGATAGATGTTCATGCTATTGATCACTGGATTTTCTAGCCCAGACTTGATTATTTCCAGACCGCCGCCACACGGCTGGAATATTGATGAATGGGGCGTAAAATTAAACTCACTCACTTGATCACATTCGAAACTGTCCCTCCCTCGATCTCTACTATGCCTTGGCAGGGCTGTTTTACAAAGTTAAATTGTCGTTTTGACGCGGTGCGGTTTTAGCGAATAACCGTCGGTTGTGTGCAAAAGGCATCTGGAGAAAGCGTGTGCACAGTGCGAGAGACGAGTGTCAATGTATGCAGTCTGAGTATACTTTGTAATTATATATTTTTGTTTCTGTGATATAATATTCTGGTTAGAAAGTGCACGTATTTGGATAGGGATACTGAGAGCGCATCATCTAAATCTAGATTGCCGACAAGGCTGCATCGCACAGGCCTTGTCGTTGCTTCTATAGACATCGATGTCGAGAAATGCTGCATGGAGTCCTCTGTCTATCAGGTTGGGGAAACCTACCGATCGGCTTATAAAAGGCCGAACGGATATTATAGGCCGTTCTGCCTATTTTGCTATAGGCCGATCGGGCTATATTTGACCATTATTATTATTATTATTTCACAAACTATCAATTTCCTCACGAAATGATGTTATATGATCATAGAAATGAATAGTTAATGGACCTCAGCTTGAAAAAAAGAAGTTTTTGGACAAAATGAAAATTTATATAAAGTTCAGGAAAAGATGTTTCATTTCAGAACACAATTTTGCACAGATTTTCATTTTGAAAACTAAAACTGAATATCGATGTCATTAATTTTCAGTGAAAAATGTCAAAAATATTATAGGTTTATGTTTAATTAGCAATTCCCAAACTCCTTTATTATGTGATGAAAATGCTCAAAAAGGGTTTGAATGAAAACCTCAGGACATCAAAACTTGAATGATGTTAAATTATCCTCATGCGGAAAAGCACCACTTTAAATTTATGTGATAAATATTAGGGGTGTCACGATACACCAATCTCGCGACACGATCGCGTATCACATACGATCGCGATACATAACTTTTCATAGCATTAATACCGCAACGTCACGGTTGGTCCATCAAAATAGTCTAGCCAATCACAACAACTGTTAGTTTCCAACCTATTTTTTAAGTATAGCTAGCTACATCTATTTATCGGAGCCGTCTGGTGTAATTTTACTATCAAGACTTTGATGGAGATGGATATAGCATAAAATTTGAATCGATAAAGTTTTAAAAGGAATCGATACGCGAAGCATGTATCGCATATCGTGATCGTCAGTAAAATGTATCGATGCATCGATACATTCACGTATCGCGACACCTAATAAATATCATATAATTAAAGGCCAATCGCCTATAGCAAAATAGGCTGAACGGCCTATTATATCCTGTTTGGCCTATTATAGGCCAATTGGTTGGTTTTCCCCAACCTGTCTATATTGTGGATTTCTGACATTCGTGATGTCATCTGATATGGAACTATTTGATCGACATAGCTACCTGTACGGGCATAAGCAATGCGCATGATAAATGCACTATATTTATTCACACTCTATTTTTCTCAGTTACTCACAAGATCTACTCATCAATATATGGATCAATGTTAACATGCAAGTTTATTTGTTGTGTAACGTTGCTTTCAGCAAGTTTCCAGCTGTATGATAGCAATCTGTAAATAATCAGGTCTGGACCAGACAATCCAGTGATTTATGACATGAACACTGACCTATGCAACTGGGGTATTACAGGCATCAACCAGAGAACCTGACCACTTGATTCCGTTAGTTGCCCCCAGTATGGGTTGCTGAAAATCAATTTGGATCTTCATTGGTTGGCAGCATGGAATTTTTGAAACATATTGTTTTACAATAAATTTAAATTTGAATATCTCCATGTGATTACACTGAATCGTGACACAGTCTTTGATCTTCCATTATTATTTAATGACCAAATATATTCCAATCTTATTGTCCAGATGAGGCGCAACTTCTATCGAGATGATCAGTTTGAAAAACGTCAGTACGGCGACTCTCAGTATGATGATAGTCAGTATGGAAGACCTCAGTACAGGGACACACAGTATGATGATCATCAGGATGGAAGTCCTCAATACAGGGACATACAGTATGATGATCATCAGTATGACGGTCAGTATGAAAATCATCAGCACAAGGACACACAGTATGATGCTCAGTATGAAGATGGCCCTTCATCAAATCGACAGGCTACGTTTGTGGAGCTCCTCAGGAAACAGAGTGATGTCATTGATAAACTTACCGATCGTGTAAGCAACGTAGGAATGGGACAGCCTGGTGGCTATGACTACGAGTATAAGGAGGTATATGAGGAACCCTACAGCTATGAGTATGAGACCTATGACAACTCTGTCTTTGAAGATCCTTACTACAGTGAAGGGATGGGCCCAGGACCTATGAGAGTCGGCGGAAGGGGCATAGGGCCATGAGCATGGTGAGTCTTTAGCTGCGCATACATGCTATCTCTTACTTCTTTCCACCCAGTTTATGCGACATTTGAGTGCAGTAGATATTTATAAAATATGTCTTTTGTCCAGATAGTGATAACAGGTAGCAATACCCCAGAATGTTTAAAATCGGGCTAGCCTAGTGGTTAAAGCTGCTCGCCATTCCACCGAGGGCCCAGGTTTGATTCCCCTCATGGGGACAATGTGTGAAGCCCACTTCCGTGTCCCCACCGTAATAATTGCTGGAATATTGCTAAAAGTGGCGTAAAACTCAAGAAACTCACTCACTCACACACTTAAAATCCTACCCTCCCTTCAGATACCTTTTAACATTAGTGAATAAGTTTACTTTACGCTGCACTCAGCAATTTTCCAACTATATGACGGGCGTATGTAAATAATCGGTCTGACTTTTAACGCTAGGAAACCAGGTATGGGTTTGCAAGCATGTGCTTATTTCTGAAACGATACTGTTTTTACAGGCCAGAGGACCTCGGGCAGTGATGAATTACAGAGGAAGACCCAGAGGAGGTCCTAGAGTAGGACCACTTGGGGCACATAGGGGGAGCAGGGGAATGGGTCACTATGGCAACGGAATGGGAGGACGACCGATGGGACCAAGGGGAGATGACTACCCCTACAGAAAAGATGGTCATGGAGGAAGGGTAAGAGCAGCTTCTGTGATCACACGCGGTAGTCAGATACTTTGTGTAAACGAAGTGAAAAGGTTAAAGGAAAATATTTTATTCTGGTAATAGGTCACAAGTGAGAAATTATTTGTCACAAGATGTTTGAACCAGGTTTAAGAAAGGTTCCCAGCTCTCTGACTTGTCACTATATGTAGGTTAACTGTCAGGATAGATCCCCTGACTGAATGCTAGTCGTAAGAGACGACCAAATGAATCCGATGTTTATGCTCTATGACTTGGTTCATCGCGTGGCCCCAAATTGATTATTTGATGGTCATATTAGTTTAGGCTAATTAGTTTAGGTTAGTTGTGTATCAGGCATGCAGTGTTGATTGTGTCATTGGTTGATAGTGTTATTGATTGATTGTGTCATTTGTGTCATCGGTTGATTGTGTCATCGGTTGATAGTGTTATTGGTTGATTGTGCCATCGGTTGATGGTGTTATTGGTTGATTGTGCCATCTTTGTCATCGGGTTGATAGTGTTATTGGTTGATTGTGTCATTTGTGTCATTGGTTGATTGTGTCATCTTGGTTGATTGTGCCATCGATGTCATCGGTTGATATTGTCACTGCGGTTGATTGTGCCATCGGTTGATTGTGTCATCGGTTGATAGTGTTATTGGTTGATTGTGTCATTTGTGTCACTGGTTGATTGTGTCATCTTGGTTGATTGTGCCATCGGTGTCATCGGTTGATATTGTCATTGCGGTTGATTGTGCCATCGGTGTCATCAGTTGATTGTTTCATCAGTTGATTGTGTCATCAGTTGATTGTGTCATCGTTTGATAGTGTTATTTGTGTCATTGGTTGATTGTGTCATCTTGATTGATTGTGCCATCGGTGTCATCGGTTGATTTTGTCATTGCGGTTGATTGTGCCATCGGTGTCATCGGTTGATTTTGTCATTGCGGTTGATTGTGCCATCGGTGTCATCGGTTGATTGTTTCATCGGTTGATTGTGTCATCATGGTTGATTGTGACATTGGTGTCATCAGTTGATTGTGTCATTGGTTGATTGTGTCAGTAAGTCCTGACTGCATGGGACATTGCTCAAGTCAGCCACTGATTTGACTGGACCTTTTCCTTCTTATGGTGAAGTGCCATTGCTGGAACATTACTGACTGTGGCATTAAATAACATTCATTCATCAGTTCACCATTTCTTTACCAAAAAATATTTAGGATCGGTGGGGTATCCTATAGTGGTGGTCCGATTAATTGAAATAATCGAAGATTGGTCGCACTGACCAATCGCTCACATTTTCTCATAATCGAACACAAACGATTTTGGACCTACTTGAAGGTGGATCATATCTTAAAAGTTGTCAGGGCCTTAATGCAGGTTTAATTCTTAGAAACGTCACTTCATTTACTGACAAGTCATAACTGATTATTTCTCTGGGAGGTTTATGTTAACGTGATATTAGTCATCACTTTAAAGTAGCAAGTTGCATCATTTTACTTTGGATGTGAAAGTCCCAAAGGCAATTTGCTAATATATAAGTAAGACAAAAACCAACAGAGGACCATCTAATACTTATCTGCAATAACAACCTGAACAGGAAAATCTTAAAAATGACGTTAACCAATTTTTTTTGATGATTGCTCATGGTAATAAATCAATCATCAATTGTGAGATTTCAAGCGATTCCCAACACTAGTATCCTAGTGCTTAAAGCGCTAAGCCGGGTTTGATTCCCTACAAGGGTACATGTGAAGCCCGCTTCTGGTGTCCACCCCTCTGTGATGTTGCTGGAATATTTCTTAAAGTGGCGTGTCGGGAACAGAAAACCATAATCACTCACTTGACAAAATTATTTAAAATATAACACAATATCTCACATTTGTGCAGTAGTTCGATTTATTAGCTAAGAAAACAACCTCCATAGCGCTGGGCTTGGGTCTGGAGACAAGTCTCTCGTGGGACTTGGACAATTAGCCCCTTCTGTGTTCCTAACGCAGAACAGGAGTGATTTGTGTATGGGGTCTTCATACTGTGTCTCACAGTCCCTGAACCACCTTATTTTCCCATACAGCATAGCCCTCTCTGCAATGCTAACGCCCTAAATGAAGCAATCTCTGGTTTCCCTGGGGCTCCTTTTCAATATAAATGGGTTTATTTGTTATAATCAAAATTATATAATATTCAGAGACTAAGCTTTAGCCTATGGGTCTTCAGTTTTGTAAGACCTGACCGATCAGACACTTTTCTCTTCTCTGACATGTTAATGACTAGTGGTATAGACTATTGATGGTGTTTATATCACAAAGTCTTTTACTGGCTATTCCCACCATGAATACCAAAGTCACCCATTTCTAGGCCATATTTGAAAGAAACCTCTATGATTTTAGCAGATAGTGTAACCTTCCATGACATCTTATGGTATGGCATTTATGGTGTCCCTGCCGTGATATTGCTGGAATATTGCTCAAACTTTAAAGTGGTGTAAAACCTTACTCACTCACTCACTCACTTACTCTTATGGTATGTTACATAAGAGGCTATATTCTGTACTCTGATCAACTAGTTGAGTGTGCGACAGAATCGGTCACACTCATAATGTTTACACTTTTTGTAGAACTTTGTTTAGTAATTGTTATGATAAGTTATTAATTTGTTATCACAGATGACAAAGAGCCTACTAAATTTGAAGGTTGTTCAGAGGCAGCTGACCCTGATTTTGTGGGTTGTTGGTCAATCTGACATAATGAGTCAGACAATGATGTTCCACTCTGGATCACTTTGTTACTTTCCTTCTCACATCCTGTGGGAGGCGGAGGGGTAGCCCAGTGGTTAAAGTGTTCGCTCGTCACGCCGAAGGCCCAGGTTTGATTCCCCACATGGGTACGATGTGTGAAGCTTATTTCTGATGTCCCTTGCCGTGATATTGCTGGAATATTGCTAAAAGCGGCATAAACCCAATTCACTCACTCACTCTCACATCCTGTGTTGTAACTGAGCAATTCCAAGGTCACTTGCCCTCTGTTAGTTGTACACCACCTATCTGACTAAAATAAATTTAGTAAACATTATGATTAAAACTTTAGAAAACACAAAGTATTAAGTCAATTAGAATTTACCCAGGACATGTGGCAATGTAGGTATTTAGGTTAATTTGGTTCTGTATTTCTGTAACTATGCAATAGGACATGTGCATTTGTTTCTCAACATGATCAGCAAGAAGATGATCCGTGAAGATCCGGGTTAGAGTTGATCTTCAGTACCCCATACTTGTTGGAAGAGGCGACTAACGGGATCGGGTGGTCAGGCTGGCTGACTTGGTTGACACATGTCATCATATCCCAATTGCGTAGATCGATGCTCATGATGCTGATCACTGGATTGTCTGGTCCAGACTTGATTATTTACAGACCATCGCCATATAGCTGGAATATTGCTGAGTGCTGCGTAAAACTAAACTCACTCTCACTCAGCAAGAAGATAATTACTATGTGGAATACATATGCATTGTTTAAAAATGAGCAGTGCTTGGTATTAATGTTAAAATGGGAAAGTTCCTATGCTATACATGCTCTGGCAGAAATTAAAGTTTGATATTTCCATGTTTCAAACCTTTCGAGATTTGACTGACAGAATTACTTCACTGTTTGATCATTTTCCAGGTTTTTCCAGATCTGACTTTCAAATGTTTCTCCTTGACTTAATCATTTCATTCTTTTCAAGATTTGACCGTCAGATTTAAGTCCTCCAATTTAGTATTTTCAGTTTTACAAAATTTGATAGTGAGATTCCACAAGTTGGTTTAATTTCAGTCCAATCATGATTTAATTAATTTTATTTACTAATTGAAAATATGAGGCTTTTGATGATTTGACTGTGAGGCCCACTGCTGGATAGTTTTCAAGATTTACTGATAGATATAGGTGCCAGGCTTGGGTAAGTTGTTGCCAACGACCTTCACCTCAACCCTTCCAAACAGTGTCTCCACGGCAACCTAGTGAAGTGTATGTTCTGTTTGTTGCAGGCCGACCTCAAACAGTGTAAGATGATTGAATGTACCTACAAACAAAGCAGCCCTCCAACATAGAGACATTAACATATAGTCATTGTCACGTCCCAGACGTGGTAATGAGGCAGACGGACGGTTCTAGCCATTGGTTGGCCTGGATCAGGCCATGGTGAAACAATGAACTACCAAATATGGTCGCAGGACTGTGGCCAACTGTACAGTGTTTGAGTCAGCTTAGAGAAAATGTTCCAAATTGTAACCATGGTAACGTGTTGGAACACAGTTCAACAGTAAATTTGTACATTTGAACACAGAACATGTTGATGTGAATATTTTTCATCAAAGTCATTTTCACGAAAATATATTTAGTTGAGGTTACCATGGTAATGGAAAATGATTAATTACTAGCTGATCCGTCATTGATTTACTATATTAAACATATTAAAAAGAAAGACGATGTTGTCGGATTCCTATTCTCGTTACTGCAACACCTTTTGAGCTTCATTAAAGTCTTACAATGTAATTACTTTCAACACTGCCTTTGAGCTTGCACCGATTTAAGCTTAAAAAATATATTTCAGAGTAAAGGCATGATATGTCATTAAAGAAAATCCATATATTCAGCTCTCCCGGCATCTTCAATCCAGCTTTCGCAATCCTTACCATTGCTGCCTCCTTACAATGACTTAATGATGACTACCGATATTAAAATTGTTACCTCTCCAGCAATGAAAGCAAAAATGTTATTGAAATTATGCTGTTTAGTTGGAAGTTGAGAAAACAAATGAAAAACTTGCTGTTTTAAATTTGATTAACTTTGAATATGATTCAAGATCCCAAAATGATACCAGATATGTTTATGTTGATGTTCAAGTTGTGGTATCTTTTTACCATGATCGCTATGTAGGAGTAATATTAAGTGTAGTTGTGTAGCCTAGTTAAAGTGTTTGCTTTCGTCACGCTAAAGACGCGGGTTCGATTCCTGCTTAGGTACAATGTGTGAACCCCATTTATGTTATCCCCCTGCTGTTATATTGCTGGAATATTGCTAAAAGCCGCATAAAACTATACTCACTCAATTGTGTCATTCCTCATAATGCTTCAAGTTGAAATATGTGATGCTAAAATATACATGTATTTCACTTCCATTATATTCAATAATCGCATGACATTATTTTGTTTTATCTTTCTTCACGCTGTATTGCAGGTAACCTCTATCTGGAGGCCATGAAGAAGAATATGGTAAGGATACTGTTTTTATAATCACGGAAAGTAGTTTCAACATGCCCAGGGTTCTATATGAATGCAATGCTTATTGGCATGGGTAAAAGATTGGAATTTTTTACGATACTTGTAAGAGTGGACCTAGGGACCGTTCATAATGTATGGCTAGGGAAGGTGGGGTGTTGTATTTTATTATTATTGTTATATTGGTATTTATCCAGCTATAGTCCATCCCACATTAAGTGATCAAAGCTTCTTTGTTTTTCCCTGGATCATTGGATGTCAGTCTCAGTGGCACATCATATTGCTAATCTCAACTCCCAGGGGATTATACAACTCTTGCAGCCACTAGGGGCACTGAGTTAATGTGACTTTCCCATACTTTTGAGGTACCCCTTCACAGCTCGGTGGACTGGAACACATAGTCTCAGTACTTTGTCCAAGTTTTACAGCGTTGCTGCTCTACCCAAGAACTTGGTGTTTGCACGTATTCATGGTCATTTACAAAAGATTAGGTAGGTTCTTTTAAGTGCACAGGGTTGTGTACTGTACACTAGGGGTTGTGACAACACTGAAAGAGTCTTCACACAAAGTTGACTCCAAGGTTTTACACCCGGTCACAGGTGGACATGTACATTGTGACTGACCCTCTAAAAATTTAAGTACAAAATATGTGACCCCTGCATGTCATGTACAAAACAATGCCCCTTTAAGCATTTTTTTTTTAATAGTATTTTTATGTACAAAATTGCTGACCTCCGAGTATATGTGTACAAAATTGATGACCCTTCTCCCCACCTCCCCAGAACAAAATGTGTGACCCCCCTTAAATTCATCATCCACCTCCCTCCCTTCTATTTTCAATTGGGGGCGGTGGGGTAGCCTAGTGGTTAAAGCATTGGCTCGTCACGCCCAAGACCCGGGTTCCAATCCCCACATGGGTACAATGTGTGAAGCCCATTTCTGGTGTCCCCCGCTGTGGTGTAGCTGGAATATTGCTAAAAGCAGCGTAAAACCAAACTCAGTCAGTCAGTCAGTCTAATTTCAATAGAGATGTTTTTTTCACAAGTGTGGTAAGGGGGGTAAGAGGGTTGCCTTTACTCCACTAATTTGGCATTAAGCAACATGTGAACCATTACTGTATTGTACTAAGTTGCTTTGAACCAAACTCTCCTTCTGTATACAACCTGTGTAGTTGGCCCAGATGTGGTAGCAGGCCACCATGCCTTGTACAGGTCCATGTTGTTAGATCAGGTTACTACCATGTTTGACAGTTCCTGGTACTACTACCGATCTGTTTGTGTACAGCCCACCAACCCGGACACCCTGTCTCTCTACTGCCCTGCCTGCAGCTACCTGGCCAGGAACAACATGGTGAGATATAGCACAATTTGGTGAGATATAACACAATGTGATGAGATATAATGCAGTGTGGTGAGATATAACAATGTGGTGAAATATAACACAATGTGGTAAGATATAATGCAATGTGAATTGCTTCAACATGTGGTGAGATATAACACAATGTGGTGAGCTTTGGCTTGTGATGAGATATAATGCATTATGGTGAGATATAACACAATGTGATGAGATGACACATGGAGATATATACCATGGGTTATGGATAACACAATGTGGTGAAATATAACACAATGTGGTAAGATATAATGCAATGTGATGAGTTGCTTCAACATGTGGTGAGATATAACACAATGTGGTGAGACATAACACAATGTGACGATCTTCAACATATGATGAGATACAACACAATGTGGTGAGCTTCAACATGTGATGTGATATGGTGCAACATGTGGTGAGATATAACACAATGTGGTGAGCTTTGGCTTGTGATGAGATATTAATGCAGTGCTGTGAGATATAACACAATGTGGTGAGATATAACTCAATGTGATGAGATATAACTCAATGTGATTGGATATAACAGAATGTGGTGAATTATAACACAATGTTGTGAGATATTACACAATGTGATGAGATATAATACAATGTGGTCATATATGACACATTGTGATATATATCACACTGTGGTGAAAGATGACACAATGTGATGAGGTATAACACAATGGTATGAGCTTCCACACAAGTATAACACTTGTGAAATATAACACAATGTGGTGAGATATAACACAATATGGTGAGAAAAAGCACAACCTGCTGAGCCATAACGGGACAAGTTGGGTTGTGTTCTCTCCCTCAACGAGTTTTGCATGATGAATCATTTATGTTGTCAATACTGATCCACCACAACTGACTTGCCCTGATATCTTCATCATCCCTCCAGGACTTCCTGAACCATCACAAGTCCCGCACACACTCCAACCAGATGGCCCGCGTCGAGGAGATGCCGCCATACATCGACAAGCAGGTCAAGGACACTATTGCCAAGATCTTTCAACAGCGCAAAGACCAAAAGTCTCTAATGTAGGTTTGGTCATGTCGGACAAACACATGAGGACAGAATACGCTTCACACAGTCCCACATCCTTGTCGTTGTTTGATTGGTTTGATGTATAACGCCGCATTCAGCAATATTTCAGCTATATAGTGGCGGTCTGTAAATAATCGAGTTGGATCAAACAGTCCAGTGATCAACATCATGAGCATCGATCTACGCAATTGGGATACAATGAAATGTGTCAACCAAGTCAGCGAGCCTGACCACCCGACACTGTTAGTCACCTCTTATGACAAGCCAATTCTAACCTGGATCTTCACGGGTCACATCCTTGTCAGGGTAATATATGTATGTGTAGTAACATGTTTCTGTCCCTGTGGGGATTCTCAACAGAGTTGGGGGTGGCGAGGTAGCCTAGTGATTAAAGCGTTCGCTCGTCACGCCAAAGACCTTGGTTTGATTTCCCACATGGGTACAATGTGTGAAGCCGATTTCTGGTGTCCCCCGCCGTGATACAGCTGGAATATTTCTACCTAAAAGCGGAATAAAACTAAACTCACTCACACACTCAACAGAGTTACTCACAGTCTCCCATGATTTTGGCCCTGAGGGATTCCGTACCCACTATTTGTCATGAGAATCTAGTGTGTGACCTGGCGTACCCAGGTGATTCTGACCAATGCTTTTGCTATCAACCACATGCCCATCTATAATTAATGACTTCATGAGACTTAAATCGTTCTTACATTGACCAGATGCTTGATGCCGAAAAGGTCGCATGGACCCTATGATTTGAATTCCATATGTTAAAGATTTAGATAGTTGAAAAGTTTAGTATGTTCATCTTGCGTTTCAGGTTCTGCTCAATCTGCGACCTTGATCTACACATTCCTTACTCAGACCATAAGAATTTGGAACTTCATAAGGTGAAATGATGTTCATCATACCCCATCGTTGTCAGATCAGTCTGGTTCATTCTTCACCTTTCTTCCAAATAGTTGCACGGGTTTACCTTGAGTCCTGTATTTGAGGGTCCCTGGGACTCATACTCTTAATTTTCAGGGGTCCTGGACTACAAAATGGGGGTCCCAGACACTTAAATAATATTATTAATACTATGTTGTAATATTGTTGTAATTCAGTTACTGTTATTGTATTGTGTATCATGTTCATCACATTGTTACAGTAATTAAATTGCAAATGATACCATAACCCGGTTAGTCAGTGATAACTTATTGTTACTTGATCGGAATTTTTACAAAAAGTATTGTTTTTTTCTGCGTCCTCGTTGATGTGCTAATACATTTCGTTGCGTCCTTTGTCAATTTTTATCAAACCTTTACTTAACATTTGTTGGCCTGGCATATACCCAAGAAGTTGATGACACCATCTATAAGTAAATATTGTTATGTTTTATTTCAGATTCGCTGTAACACAATCAAGCTTGGGTGTTTAATATGCAAGACCAAGCCCTTTAACAGTTTCTCCGAGTACAAGGCTCACTGTAAGATTGACACCCACATAGAGGTAGGCGCTACATATCTCAACATGCTCATTTATCAGATTGTTAAATAGTGTGATCAAATCAATTGTTGCACCAATATTCTAGACCCTTCATTTGTAAGTGTAAAGTTTATTTTCTAGAGGTCTATTCTTAATATGACTACTGGGTTATCTCCCTTCATTCGAGTTTATTCCGAAGGAGCCATTTCAGTTGTAAACTTCAATACAATTTTGGTATGTTTGTGTACTAGTATTATTTTTCCTTATCCTGACTCATGCTCTTTTGCTTGTCTTCTTCTTCTTGCTTGAACATAGTGGAACACTTGTATCTCCCCTAATTGAAGCCCTTCAATTTAAAATCACTAATTAGTATTCACCACGAAGTTACCTCCCCTTTCCACAAGCTGGGAGCAGGGCAGCCCTCTACCCATGTGCCTCACTCTCTCCTTCTTAGCCCAGTGAGCTGGCGGTGAGCGCCTGTGTCTCTGTACGACACACTATATCCTTTGAATTATATTTAGTTAGTTACCTCATTATAGACATCTATAGAGGTTTAGCTAGTATCCTTCAACGATTATATATTGATATTTAGTCGTTTTTCTACAGTTTATTCCACGGGCCCGTGTTTGTTTCAGTGGATTACGTTGATGAAAATTCTGTACTATTGCAGATTACGTTTTATGCTGCTGCTGATCCGCCTTTAATATGATGTACGTAGCCATGTTTATTATATTCACATTGCAGTTTGCGGTACTAATTTATCCAATTCTACCTTTTATTAATATTTACTTTTGCGTTTGTACGCTTTTAGCAGATAGAGTCGGCGTATGCAGAGTCTAGTATGACTGATACATCGGAACCCCTTCGCCAGTCTACTGCTGTTGGCCCGACTCCTCCCGTGTGGTGTTCAGCTAGAGTGGTGGAGAGGTGTGGGGCGTAGTCAGCCATCTCCAAGAAGCATCCTGCTTCCCCAGACATCCCATCGTCGCCAGCAGAAGACTAGAGGGTTTTCTACTACATCTCAACAAGCGAGACCGTTCCCATGAAGTTTTGGGCCTGTATGATGATCAGCGGTCATCTAATGCGGATGTACATCAAAGATTGACCGATAATACCGGCACAGATCAGCATGCAGCCTGATGTACCAAGCGCGCAGATATCGATGATGCGTCCTGAGGGTCCCATCATTACCAACACTCCAGCGCCAGGCGTGTTCTTTTTGCAGGGCAGCGTCGACCTCTGAGGAAAATCAGCGAGTCTACTAGGACTTTCTCAAGCCCGAGATTGTTCCAGCCCGATGACCTGGACCTCTCGATGATCAGCTGATCATCATCCCGACGTCATACAAGAAGCGACCGGGGACAGCTACAACGACATCAGCAGAGATCGCCATGCAGCCTGATGCCACCTGCACTGATGATGGACGATTTTCCGGTGGACCCCTCCATTAACACGCCAGATAAAGCACCGGCGACCTGCGTGCAGACCATCCAGAAGACATGATCGCGACAAATTATATGAACATCATGGAGGACCAATATCTGGCGGTAGCAGAGGTCGAGCAACCTTAGCGAAGGCTCCAGCGTAGAACAACACCCAGATGCACCCCCGTCAAGCGTAGCAGCCAGGGCGATGTCACCTTCAAGTGAAGAGAAGTCACGGACCACCTTGGCCAGAAGGACCTAGATGTACAGCCTTAGCGAAGGCCTTCGCGAAGGCGGAAAGGACCTAGATGTACGGCCAGGCGGCGGAAAGAACCTAGATGTACAGCCAGCGAAGGACCGGCGAAGGCAGGATCGATCATCACCTTATGCGGTTTCATCCCTAGTTGTGGACTCCGGACCATCAGACATCACGGGAAGCCTTCGGCGAAGGTCATATCATTCGTTCCCCGGACGGCGGGCGCAGAGGAAGCTTCAGCGAAGGCATGCGCGCGAGGACACCTGAATCAGATCATCATCATCTAGAAGGACATCGAGGGACTATACAAAGAGCTTAGCCGAAACTATCAGCGTTCCCCTCACAAGTCTCGAGAAGATCAACCCATAGACAAGTTGATCATCGATATCAAGTATAAGAACTACAATCGCATTATATTGGTTCTGTTGAATCCATGGCGAAGACGTATGTTAGGCTGGCCTAAATAGATCTAGAGCGATCAATTGGGCACCTTATCACCAGACTTAGAATAATACGACTTCTGAATATGATGATAAGATGATCCATGCGACCCTACTTAGGCAAAGCCGCCCGATCCACATCCTGTTAAACACAGAGGCTGTTCGCGAAGCAAAGCTCATATATATATTTATATATATATATATATACTAATCGGGCTTTGACTCGACACCTTCGCGATGGTGTTGAAGGCTAAGTAACTCAAGTCTACCGCTTCACCCAGAAGATCTAGAAGGGATACGCGAGAACTTAGCGAAGTCTCCGGCGTCACCGAGGAAGTCTCCTCAAGGGTTTCCATATACTAGCCACTCGTCGTATATGGCTACTTTCGTCGATCCGTTCAAGGCGTCGCATAAGTTGATTATCAACTGTATGCCAGATGCTCGCGATCTATAAGCCTCTGGCGAAGATAATTGCTCAGGCTATTTACAACACAGAGCGTCGCTGTATTATTAGTCGCGACATTTCATAGATCTTCACAGAAATCAACTATTTCAGTATAAATTGCTAATATACAATCCCGGGACGATCACGATTATCTACATCGTGACCATTGCGCATATCTGCAGACAATTCAATATCGAAATTGAACAGCAGCCTTGTTACAGTACGTATAACTCTTAATCGTCAAAGTTTCTGAGAAGAAATATGTACAACAAGTTCAGCGTTAATTCTACAATTATGGCGATACATTCATGTATACAGTCTACAAGCTCACAACTTTGCAAGTTGTTTTATACCCTTATATATAAGGAAGTCGAGATTATATTCAAAACTGAAGAATTACTTCCGCGACAACCAGGAAAATAACCTACACCCAGCATAAAATTACAGATGCTGAGATATTTTGTAGCGGTTACCATTAACCCTCGAAACACGTGGTCACTCCGGATATGCCCCGGGAAGCTTCACGGTGAAGACCCGGCGTTTATGCTAATATCAGCAGCGACAAATTTATTCAAGGTGGGCTTTTCAGCTACACGGTGACGACATCTGTGACAGCGGGTATTATACAGAATCAAAAATGCCTTGTTCTGATTGGACGGCGAGGGACAACGACCTACACAGAGGTGCGATCTCTATTCACAGTTCAGACTTACGTCACAAGTGACAACTATATATCAGTGAGCGAGCAAGCCTCATTACAGTCCAGTTAACCTGAACATTCATGATTAGACTGCTTTTCTTCAGGAGTTAGAGACCTCCTGTCAAGTTAAGGCGAGGGATGACGGCAGTCAGGCGATTTTACATAAAGTTTCGAGGACAGACACACCTGGTTGTGCACCTACATCGTCAAAAGGACTTAGCGGCGAATTACCCTAAGGCGAAGATACAAGTGGATCTAAATCCACAGGCGTTTCAAGACTACAGCTGAATTTCATCAAAGCGACTAACACAGCTAGATGGTTAGTAAACCTACTAAACTTCTGTTTGGAGAATAAGCGGAAATTTCCGCCAAACCTGGGGATATGAATATAGTGCTCCAGCACCTCACAAGTGAGGTTTATGAACACGCCTGGATGACATACTTGGACCCCATGATGCACGATGAATTCTATCAAGATGGCCAGCAAAGAGCACTGTAAATTTATCTCCACCAAACCAAACAGGAGGAAAAAATGCAACAGATTATTTCCTCTATCATCAACTTTCTTTGGAGTGAAGTCTCATGTACTATATCTCCATTTGGATCAGAACTGTCATACTCTCGTGCATATCGGCCGGATGGACCTATTCCGACCCTCCATGAGCTTAATACTCCTTGATATTATAGCTAACTTCTACGAATTGTCCTACACAAATGTGATTGAAATAATGGAGGTTTATTTCTGGAAATCCGATATGGTGGTTGCAAACCATTATCTGAGAGATATCACCTCTACGAGGGACGTCTCAGGTATGCACCAATTCGATCCCATGGTCACCATGACAACAGCTGAGCAGTTCCTCGAGAAGATAAGTCAATCTAACAGATTTTTACTTATCTTATAACAATACTAAATAGCTTCATGCTATATATATAATTTACTTAAGTTCCTTTTATCATCACAGTACTATGATTATTACATCATACAATATATAAGTTAACAGCTCTACAGAGTTTGTTATTATATATATTTACCTTAAGTTATTCATATCTTAAAGAGTAATACTATGGTTACATGATAAATGCATTAGCTAACAAACTCTACAGAGTTTTGGCTATTTTATACATAGCTTAAGTTAATTAAGCTAACAAACTCTACTTGGAGTTTTACTATTATATAGGTAACTTAAGCTAATTATACCTTAAGCATAGTACTATACTCATATTATTAAAATATATTGGCTAACAAACTCCTAAGGAGTTTTGCTATTATATAGGTAGCTTAAGCTTATTCATATCTTAAGCTTAGTACTATGTTTATATCATATAAAGTAGATTAGCTAACAAACTCTAAAGAGTTTTTGCTATTTGGCTTAAGTATCATCATATTTCTAAGCAATATGGTTATATTATAACATGTATTAGCTAACAAACTCTACAGAGTTTTAGCTATTATATATGTAACTTAAGCTTATTCATATATCTTAAAGCGCATAGTACTATGTTTATATCATATAGGTATATTAGCTATCAAAAAACTCTAAAGAGGGTTTTGCTATTATATATTTAAGCTTAAGTTTCATCATATTTTAAGCTTTATGGTTACATTATAACATGTATTAGCTAACAAACTCTACGGAGTTCTTGCTATTATATATATGTAGCTTAAGTTTTCCTTCATAAGCTCAATACTAGGTTTATATCATAGCTAACAAACTCTAAAGGGTTGTTTTAGGCTATTATACAATTAGCTTAAGTTTTCATCATATCTTAAGCAGTATGTTTACATTATAAAGGTATTAGCTAACAAAACTGATGCTCCGGAGTTTTGTTATTATATATATATAGCTTAAGTTTCATCATAACTTAAGCTCAGTACTATGTTTTTTAACATAAAAAGTATATTAGTTAATAAACTCTAAGGGTTTATTTTGCTATATACATTTAGCTTAAGTCTAATCTTATCTTAAGCTTAGTACTATGGTTACACTATAAACATATTAGCTAATAAACTCTACAGAGTTTTTGGCTATTATATATATGTAGCTTAAGTTAATAATATCTTAAGCACAATACTATACTCATATTGTAAAATATATTAGCTAACAAACTCTCACGGAGTTCTGCTATTATATATGTAGCTTAAGTTCATTATATCTTAAGCACACTACTATACTCATATTGTAAAATATATTAGCTAACAAACTCTAACGAGGTTTTGCTGTGTATTATATATGTAGCTTAAGTTAATTATATCTTAAGCACACTACTATACTCATATTGTAAAAATATTAGCTAACAAACCCTACAGAGTTTTGCTATATATATGTAGCTTAAGTTAATTATATCTTAAGCTCAGTACTATACTAATATTATAAATATATATTAGCTAACAAACTCTACAGAGTTTGGCTATTATATATGTAGCTTAAGTTAATTATAGCTTAAGCACAGTACTATACTCATATTATAAAAATATATTAGCTAACAAACTCTACAGAGTTTGGCTATTATATATGTAGCTTAAGTTAATTATAGCTTAAGCACAGTACTATACTCATATTATAAAAAAATATATTAGCTAACAAACTCTACAGAGTTTTGCTATTATATATGTAGCTAAAGCTTATTCATATCTTAAGCTCAGCATTATATCTATATCATATAAGTATATTAACTAACAAACTCTAAAGAGTTTGCTATTATATAATTAGCTTAAGTTTAATCATATCTTAAGCTTAGTACTATGTTATATCTTAAAGTATTTTAGCTAACAAACTCTAAGGAGTTTATACTAGCATATTAACAAGCTTAAGTCTATTAGTCTTAAGCATTGTATTAATGTTATATATACTTTATCATAATAAAGTACATGGTAATAACCTTTATATGGCAGCTGATAAGTTAGCAGCAGGAATTCATCAGTTCAGTGCCTTTATGAAGTTCCCATAGGGTTATTACAATCATCACAGTTCAAATCACTAATTATTAAAATCCAAAGTATTAGATATTCCCACCTCCGTCTCAAGTAGGATGCTACAAACAAAAGAGCATGAGTCAGGATAAGGAAAAATATGTAATTTTTGGAGTAAAATTGATATTTTATACTTATCCTGACTCATGAGGTCAGCCCTCCCATCCTCCCCAAATAACACTTTGGATTTCCCTGTAAATTCAAATGTTGGGCTCAGTATATGAGGAGAGAGTGAGGCACATGGGTAGAGGTGGCGCCCTCGTTCCCGAGCTTGTGGAAAGGAGGTAACTTCGTGGTGAATACTAATTAGTGATTTTAAATTGAAGGGAGCTTCAATTAGGGAGATACAAGTGTTCCACTATGTTCGCAAGAAGAAGAAGACAAGCAAAAAGAGCATGAGTCAGGATAAGTATAAAATATCAATTTTACTCCAAAAATTACATTTTGTGAAATTGTTGGACGTGTTGTTAGTTAGCAGTGTGCGAAATAGCCACCGGCCTGTTAGCCCATGGCTAGTAAAATTCCAGTCGGGCCAGTAAATCTCCAGAGTGACTGGCTAGCATTTTGTGGGCTAGTAACATTCAGGCATAGCTAGCCCGACTGGCCAGCAAAATTTGGAACTATTTCGCACACTGAGTTAGTTTTAGGAAATGGGTTCAAGAGAGATGTGAATAATCATTTTTCAAAATGTACATGTATACTTATCATGTTCATATATTTTTGCCTATTGTCATACAACTGCTGTAATCCTATTTTGGGGTCATTGGCAATGACACAGCATTTGTTAAAGGATTTGGATTAAAAGTTTAAAGGATTTTAACGTCTTTTATCCTTTCAAGCAATACACATTTACTTAAAAAGAATATACATGTTGAAGTCTAATAGTTAACTCTGCTTACGATTTGAGAGTCCACTGTTCACCTTCATTTTGTGAGCAAAATGTGTCTCGTGTTCCAGAAAGCTGAGGTGGAGAGAAGGAAGAGTGATGATCTGATAGAGAGATGCACTCAGCTGGTGGGTAGACTGTAAATTGTTTAACTTATCCTATCTCACGACTTGCATCCATCACGTGAGATAGCATTGGTATATAAATACAATGCCGTCCGGTAATTCCTTGCACCCAAGCACATCTATCGCAACACGGCAACTAACGTCTATAAGATTCTAACGTTGCATTATGCCATATGGTTGACCTTACCGGCGTTCTGACGACATCGCTTGCTGTCCGGTAATTCTGCGCAGCAACTGATGTGGATAACATCCAGCTGGAGATCCGAAGTATTGAAGCATATTAGGGCCAGATTATTTTCAAAAGTCACTTCATCAATGTAAGGAAGATAAATCCATTTATGAATAATGAAGAAGGTTTAAAAGTCTGAAGAAAACAAATTTTCATAAAACTGTCAATTTATCTGTCAATTACAGTTATTTACTTACCTTTAGTGATTAAAAGCCAGTCCCTTGTAGAAATGTCCGGATTTCAAGCGTAAATGTGGTAGCAGACGATGTTTACCTTCAATACGGAAGTACGCTATTGCAGCTGCGCAGAATTACCGGACGCTTGTATACTATTTATAGTTATAGTTATTCTCATTGGATAATTAGCCTGGCATCAACCAATCACGTTTCGCCTTATTTCGACGCTCGAAACTGCCTGAGTTGGAGTCAAAATTACATTCTCGCTGTGTGGAAATAATTTAAAAAGGTATTCAAATATCAAATCGAAATAGTGATAATGGTTATCACAAATCGAAACTAAGGTGTCAGATTTGATTTTCTATGAATCGAACCGAATTGTTGCTGTCCTAATGTTTATGTCTATAAGTTTGGATGTACATACCAACCAGGATGCTAATTTTTGTATAAGTATGGAACATGCTGTGTTGTGTTGCTGCTGTTCTTGGCCCTTCACACAGAAAAGTGCTACAACTGTCATAAGCCTGTTTTAAAGAATTGGAGTCAGGGAGTTACGACCATCTTAACACTGAGATTGCTTTGCGGAACGATGCCAATTTAGAACAGTTGGAGATTACAATTTATAACAGTTACTGTACAATGGGAATCATATGGTGGCAATTTAGGACCTGATATTTTTTTATCCTTAAGGCCAGACCAATTTCATTTCTTGTTTTACAGATTTTTGTTCTCAGAAAACCTAAAAGCAGGGGGAAAAAAATAAATAATAAAAATCACCAGTCAAAGTAATAAACCTTTTAAATGAAAATGCTAAAAGTATTTACGATTGGCAATTTATGAAGTCTATATGGGTGAAAAAAACAATCTAAAAACATTTTCTTGCACATTTACATTTTTGGCCAATAAAAATATGAAAATTTTATTTTTTGAGCAGGGAAAATTAATTATTATTTTTTTTCCTTATTCCTGAAAAAATATGACCGGTGGATCCGTAAAACAAGAAATAAATATGGTCTGGCCTAAAAAGCATAGAGCCACAAGTTTACTGGACATGTGAGGTAGGCACTAGGGTAGGGTGACCATAACATTTTGAGACGTAGGCCTCCTACAACAAAAATTCAAAATGAAATGCAGAGAAATAATATAGAATAGAATGTACAAATGGATGATGAAAGAAGAAAAAGAGTAAAATAGAGTGAAAACAGCAGCTACCAGTAGAAGAGAGATTCCTTTT